CCTTTTACAATCTCCTTGTAGGATACAGATGGGTGTTTAGGAAGAGAAAGTACATCAGTGCTTCTCCCACTTTCATGTGTATCCATATTTCCTGGGGATCTTTTTAAAATGCAGATTTGGGTTCAGTGGGTCTGAAGTAGGCCCTGAATGACACTTTACATTTCTTTCTTTTTTTTTTTAAATGTTTATTTATTTTTGAGAGAGAGAGACAGAGGGAGAGAGGAAGAGAGGGAGAGAGAGAATTCCAAGCAGACTTTGGGCTGTCAGCACAGAGCCCGACACAGGGTTCGAACTCATGAACTGTGAGATCCATGACCTGAGCCAAAATCAAAATAAAAGTTGGAACATTAACTGACTGACCCACCCAGGTGCCCCAGATATTCTACATTTCTAATGGAAATCGATGGAGATGCTGGAGCTCCATGGACAACGTATGAATAGCAAACTAGTAGAAAGCAGTAATAAGGATGATTAAGTGGTTCCTATGATCTCTCCCTTCTCTGGCCGTAACAGACGGGGGTAATCCACCATAGGTCCTTATGTGCTTACAGGACATTGAATTTCTGGCCAAGTGAACCCTTGATAACAACAAGGTTAATCTGTTCTTCCGCAAGACTTTTTAGAGCTAGAAATAAAGGAATAGAGTATTTTTCCAATCTTTTGTGGTGAAGCATAGGCCACAAGGTGTTACCAGTCATATGAGAAAGTCAGTCTCAAGGAGGGATGAGGAAATGCAGAGAAGAAAATCCAGGTGCCATTCCAGTCCCTGGTGAGGCTCAGTCCAGACCCCCTTCAAGATTATGTGAGATATTCTAATGTCCCTCCAGTAAATTCCCTTCTTGGTCTAAATTTGTTCTCGTTGGGTTTCTAGCATTTGAAACTTACAAAGTCCAAACTAACATGAGATGGGGGAGAAGAGGAAATGGGAATTCAGTACTCAGTGTGATGGAGGAACAAAGGAAAAATTCACACCGGATTATTATCCAGACATCCGGGGCTTGGGGTGAGGACAGACTGTCCATTAAATCATGCTAAAGATGTCTTTCTTTTTCCTTCCTTCCTTCCTTCCTTCCTTCCTTCCTTCCTTCCTTCCTTCCTTCCTTCCTTCCCTCCCTCCCTCCCTCCCTCCCTTCTTTCCTATGTTTATTTATTTAGAGAGAGAGTGCACACAATTTTGTGAGAGGGGAGGGGCAGAGAAAGAAAGAGGAAGAGAGAATCCCAAGCAGGCTCCACACTGTCAGTGGGAGGCCCAACAGGGGGCTCGATCTCACTAATCATGAGATCATAACCTGAGTCAAAATCTAGAGTCAGACTTTTAACCAACTGAGTCACCCAAGAGCCCCTACTTTTAAAAAATATTTAAGTAATCTCTATACCCTACATGGGGCTCAAACTCATAACCCCAAGATCAAGAGTCACATGCTCTTTGAGCCAGGCAGGTGCCCCACTAGAGGCGTATTTCTAACAAAGTAGATAAACCATAGAGAGGGTTAAACACAAGTAAAAACTAAGGCTCAGGGAAGAGAAGGGAACAGGACCGTCTAGGTGTATCATGACCAATGTACTTGAGGGTGATCCCTGGGCCTGAATGAAGGTTAAGAACTAAGTGGAGGTTAAGAGCTAGGTAGCGTCCTGCCCAGCAAAGAACAAAAGGGTGAAATTCATGTTTGGCATTGTATGATGTGTTCCACATTTATGACCTTATTTAATGACCCTTAGAGAGTGTCCTACATTGTTCCCACCAGCTGTCCCTGAAACTCTAGCACAGTCAGTGTATCAGATGAAGATGAGTCACATCACACAAGCCCCACCCACTCGGCCCTAGGACTGGGTATTCCATGGGCAAGTATGGAATTTCTCTGGGATCTCAGCCCAGATGAAACAGTAAGCACTTTTGTATGACAGTCACCACCTTTCGATATTTGAAGTAAGTGTATTTTTCATGTTTAACTGGTGTCTTGGTCACACCTTCATCTGCATCAATCCCATATTCAAGGGTCTACACAGTTAAAATAAACCCAATACTTTATAGCACAGTTCCAAAACTGAAATACTTCTGCATTAAGAGAAAAAAAAGACTGGTTACTACCAAGGTGTACTGTCCACGAGATGAAAGCCTTCCGTTCGTGCACAGCAGGTGCGTGTGCAGACAGGGCAGGCAGCAACAGAAGGGTGACAACCGGAGGGCACTTGTCCTCGTGGCAAAGGCCTGCACATAAAGGATGAAGTGATGAAGCTGATTTCATAAGGACAAAATGGATGCTGATCTCATTATTTTATAGCCATACCTTGTGGTGTGTTTATAAAATATTTCTTTCGCAAGTTAAAAGAGAATCTGCTACAGATGGATTTAATTTTGGTAAAATCAATGGAAAAAGTTCTATGTTAATGCAACATTTGTTGTAAAGATTCCAGAAACACACGAGTCAAAATTTCAAATTATGATTCCCACAGTAACTGTAACTCTGCTATACAACATACATAATGGAAGAAATGTTATCAACATGTACCATAGGAGAAAATACTCGGTAAGCAGAAACAAGCTGAGTTATGCTTGCTGTGGGAATCATCATTTCCAACTAGCTGAGGATATATAAAAATTGAAACCATAAATGCATGCATTATTTTATGTATTTAATTCCACTTTTTCTTGATCCAATTTAATCAGTTTTGCATCCAAACTACATTTCCCTTTCATAAACTGCAAATGAATGTCTTTCATAGTTTTAAAATCCACATCATTTCGTTTCTTTTTCTCATGCAGGCTGCCTTTGCAGAATGGCATCGTTAGATCCTGTCCCTCCCCTAAAAGGTCAGGCCATGTCTGCTGGGACCCATTTATCTATATTTCCTTTTCTCCCTGAAGGACACCAGGGATGGGGGAGAAAAAGAATATCAAAGAGAACAAGAATCACATTAAGTAGCTTAGACAGGTAAATAAGTGCAACAGAAAGAGCGACAGTGGCATCATTAACTTCTCTGTTGGCATCTTCCTGAGCACAAATAAGGAAAACAAGCACCACCACATATTTACAGTTTCCAAAGTGTTTAGTCATAACATTATCTCATCTGATCCTCACAACAACACTGGGAGAAAGACAAAAAGAAAACCCTTTTCGGTTGTTCAGCTCTTTGTGACTCCAGCAGAATATATTTAAGGATGCACTTTTATGGTATAATTTAAAGTCTGGACTATTTAATTGCACTTACAATATTACCCACTTACCACATGCAGAGAATTTACTTATTATTGAAAGCAGAATATACTTTATGTAAAAAGATTATGGTTACGAGCTAAACATTTAACATAGTTTAAGCTTTCTGCTTTAACTATATTCTGAAAATTCAATAATGAAACAGAAAGAAATAACTGCCCTTTGAAACTCTGCCTGGGCAAAATTAATCCTGTATATTATATCCAGTATTACTTTTCCCATTTTGGTTTTAACTAAGAAGGGCACCTTCTACAGCCTCTAAAGAGGAAGCCTTTTACTTCCCAGTGGTCTATACCATCGAGGTAGGTTTCATTATATTCAAACTCCATTACTTTGACTCAAGATCAATCATATTTCCTTCTGACACTAAGTAGCCTGGCCCTACCACAGTGTTCATGACCTTGCATAAGTGTTTGCAGAGTGCCACGGTCAACCTTTTCTGTCTCTTAGTGCTACTAGGATCTGGCTAGTCTAGTGTAAGTCTGTTTTTCCCCCTTTCTATGGACAAAAGGATACCCCTCCATTGATTCACATACAAATTCTCCTTCTTCATTTATCTAGTATACCAATAAAAAAATCACTTAAAATGAAGATTCAGAGTGAAGCAAAAGCCTTAATACTCTGCAAAAAGCCTTAATATCACTTGTTCTAACCTAAGAGATAACAGTTTATCTTTTGCCTGTGAAACATATGACCATTTTGCGTGTAATTAAATTGTAATATTTTAAGTGCTAAAAGGAAAACAAATCCTGAGGAATATTAATTTTAGGAGGTTTTATTGTGGAGAAAGAGTTATTTTTAATGTTCCCTATAATTAGAAACAAGATCTTTGCAATTAATAAAGATCTGGATAAAACAGAGGAAATATAAGAAGGTATCCTATGGGACATAAATACTTAACTGTGATGGTTTTTACCCCCCTCTATGCAAAAAAAAAAAAAATATATATATATATATATATGTGTGTGTTTATATATATATAAAATCTGGGGCTGACGGCAAAACACAATCTCAATACTACTTCCAGTTATGAGAAAGACAGGAAGATGGCTGATAAAATCAGTGATGAAGATATGAGCTCTTGCACTTTCACAGAGACCAGAAATGGGGTCTTCTTTGCCTTTTATGATGTATCAGTCAGAGATGAAGGCAGGGAAGTAAGTATGAATTTTTCATACCATCCCTCTACTCTATGGAATAATCATCTCAGGAAAAGTACAGATACAGTCAGTGGGCAAGGTTTACCAGAATTGAAACAATGTCTCTTTCAATATAGAAACTGAGGAGTAGGTAAGCAATTCTAGAGGATCAGAGAATGGTTAGAAATGAGAAATGATGGGGTTTGTTTCTCTTGAGCAGTCAATAATATGAAATTGTCAAAGGTCTTACATTTTCCAAATAAACTGACAGCAAATAAGGTCCCCAAAACTATCAGTACATTAAATTAAGGAACTAATGTTTTTCACTTACTTATAATTAAAGCTTCAGAATTCCATGAATGGCTTACAGTAAAATATTCACACAGTAAAGAATGAACTAAAGGAAGATTTGGAGAACAAAGTGGTCCAAGAAGAGCAGAATGTTAAATAGCTTACTGGATATTCATAAAATGGATACTGTGCAACCATTCACAATGTGTTCTGAAGAATGTCACGGGTTGATAACAAACTGTAAAATGAAAAGTAAAGTTACAGAATGATATATTTTATATTATCTTTATTTGGGAAAAAATTATGTACATAGAAAAAAAACACTAGGAGAACAACACAAAAATACTGACAGAAGTTTACATCTGCTAGTGAGAATTTAATGTCTTCACACTTTTTTTCTTTTCCAAATGAAAAGGGAGTAAAATTAGGGGAAATTCTTATTTTCAAAAACAGCCATTAAGATCTCTCTGTCCCATCATTTTAATAACATGAACAACAAAAAAAAGTATATTTAGCACTTGCATTAACAATTGTTTTTAAGTTATCAAGTCAATAGTTCATTCAATTTTAGTATCCCTATACTTTTTGCCCAATTCACACAGAACAGTGTATTTTTTTAAAAAATGTAATGGCATAACATTTTATCCAAGGTGATAGTCTTCCATGCAGTCTTCTTCATTCATCACATCTAGAAAATGAACTTCATATGCTTGATTCCATAAGTTTTGAAGAAAACCATTATAATGAGTGCCCACAATCCCAGAATAAAACCCCCAGGAGGATGCCAATCTTTCAGCTTTGGTTTCTGCAAAACAAAGATGACATGGTAAATTTAACAACAACAGATAAAGCAAACACTGATGGAAAACAGAAATTTCATAGGTTGTGTTTTAAGAGGGAGTAATTTAGCCAAATTAAATGTATTAGGATAGCAACACTGATAAAGACTTCTAATCGGGTAAATATTTCAAAGTGGTTCTTACAGAGATCAGTTTCAAATGACACTTTGGCCCTTCAAAGAGACTTCACTGACTACTCTACCCAGCCATCTCTCTTCACCCAAGCTATCTGGTGGCCTAACAGTCCTTCTTACTTCAAATTTATATATCCATTAGTTTGTTGGTTTTATCTGTCTCTCCTACTAGACATAGCTCTATGAGGGTCATCTTGCATATGGCCCCAGCACCTACCTTCCATAGTGCCTGGCATGTAAGAGACATACATACATTATACTGATTAAATCATCAGAAAAACAATTGCTGCCAACTCCATCTGTGCTGATATTCAACAAATACTTATTTGGGGGCCGATACCTTTAGTCATGTTACGCCCTTGTTAACAGAATGCTCTTTACTCCATTCTGCCTATTTGAAACTCACTAACTGAAATGCCTACTCCAGATTTTCCCACCTGATACGTTCTTTTCTTTGAATCTCTAGTTCCTTCTACTCTTACTTCTATTTAGTAATATAATTATCATTATCACTTATCTACCTGCAAAATTCCAGAGGGCAAACAAAGTCTGGCTCAGTCCATTTTGTATCTCCTTGTCCATTCCTCCACCCCTCAATACCCAACTAAGTGTCTTGTATATTCCTTAGTCCAGCAAGGAAAGGCAGACCAGTCTTCTCCATTTAGTTGTCATTTCAACAGCTACACTATGTCCCTGAAATTGGAGGTCTGTGATTATGATCTTCCTATGACTTTTACTTCCTGAACTGGTAGCAGGGACAGTTATGTTATGAAAATCACATGACACCAGGATCATATTTTAGATAGAATAGAGTGAAGAGAAACTGTAATCTGAAATTTTAAATTTGTTCTAGTCACCATGTAAACTAGCCAAGGAATGCTCATAAATCTCTTAGAAGATACTTTGGTTTCCCATACGTAACCAGGACTCCTAATGCTCTTCACTCAATCCTAAACTCATCATATTACAAAAGGAAAGGAGGGAGGCAGGGAGTCTGGGAGAGAGAGAGAGAAAGAAGGAAGGACGGAAGGAAGGAAGGCAGGAAGGAAAGAAGGCAGGCAGGCAGGCAGGCAGGCAAACTCAAAAATAAAACAAGTCAAATCAAGCAGAATTCACCAATAAAGCCCATGCCAGTAATACTGCCACATTCTATAGTTACTTATGTTTATTATCTATGCTTTAAAATACGTGATAGTTTCTTAATATATACATCATTATAAACCCACTAAAAGGATTTAAAAGAATATTTAGATACAATGAAATTCTACTTTTTGTTTAATTCTATAAATGCAGAAGTTACATATGGAAATGCCTGGTTTTCAATTAGGCGATCTTTCGGCAATTGCTTCCTTCTCTTCTGAAGTTCTCCCTTAGCTTCAGTGATACTCTCACCAGGTTTTTATTCTACTTCTCTAACCATTCCTTTTCAATCTTCTCTGCTCCTTAGATGCTAGTGTTCTCTAGAGGTCTGCCTTCAGCCATTTACTCTCTCCCTTTAAATAACTCTCTGGGTGATACCTGTACCCTGGTTTTGACCTCTGTCAGCAGGCTTCTGACTCACAAATTTCTATCACTAACAGGGAACTCTACACTAAACCCTATGTTCATGTACATTTAACAGACATCTCTACTTGGATATTCTAAAGGATCACAAACTTTACTACAGCCAAGAGCAAATTCATTCCTGAGTCCTCCATCCAATTCTGTTCTTCCTTCCCTGTTTTCTACCTCTTCATCCCCATGAAGGGCATCCATGTTGCCCAAGTGATAAAGCTGAAAGTCCTTCTTAGCTTCCCCATTTCACAGACCTTCCCATTCCCATGAGTTACTAATTCTTACATGTTTTCTCCCCATCATATTTGTCCTTTGTAAGTCTTCTATTACCACTGCCACTACCTTAGTTCTAGCTCCTATCATTTCTTTTCAGGGTCACTGAAATGCTGTCCTAACTATTAGTTTCTCTTCCTCCAAGATGCCCCTCTCTTTTCCATCTATCTATGGCTGATAGATACATCTTTCTAAAATACACATATATATTTGTATATAATATGTATATACATAAAAGCCTGACAGGCATGCATGTAAGTATTGTTTGTTTTAAACACACATTACTTTTGTAATTTACAAAATTAAATAACTTAAAAATGAGGGCTTGGTGTGGTGTGGTTCAAAGAGCATGGGATTTAGAATCAACTGCTTTGATTCGAAGTTTACTTTTAACACTGACAGCCCACTGCCAAGCCACTTCTCCACTCTGAATTTCTGAATTTATAAAATGGGCATTGTAACACAGACCTCCTAAGAATGAATGAATGCACAATTAGTACAATGATGTGTTTTCTGAAAATTTACTCTATAACTAACCGTTCCTACCTAGAAAAGTGATGATATGAAATTGAAAGTACTTTTAAGATAACTTTCTTTTGTGTTTGTTAGTTATCAAGAACAATGTTTGAATCAATCTAATTTCTGTTATTTTAACTTGTATACATTTCATTTCAAAACTGAATAATTAAAATAATAGGAGAAATCCACCTTAATATTTTCATCTGGATGATAATGCTAGAGTTTTAATCAGCTGCCTAATATAAACCGAACTGACAATATTATTTACAGTGGTTACATGCCACATTCACTCTACGGCAACTCCTACCCTCCCCACCCGACACTCCTTCCAGAAAACTCCCCAAACACAAAAATATCATAATCCAATTTTTCCTCATGTTACTTTCTACTCAAAACCCTACAATGGCTCTGATCATAGATGAGATGATGATGACGACCCAGGTTCTTTCCCTCTAGTATCTTACAAGATGGTAATGCCAGTGGTTCTCAAACCATTTCCGATGGCAGAGCTTTTGGAAGTCATGGTGTTCTTTGTGAAACACTATGAAAAGCCTTAATTCCAGTAGAAAATCCAGATTAATATAAAGCATTGTTATATTAAAAGTAAGTAATATAAATATCACAAGCATGTGACAATGAAAAACAAGTGGGTGAACTAAACATGATCGACTACTGCTTCATTTTTGTCATGTTATTTTCTATTAGTCAAACAATTCATGCCTAACAGGTTGAAAACACTAAACCAAAACTTATTTTTCCATAAACTGGGAAAATCTTATCATTAGTTATTAATAACTAATGTTAATATTAGTTATTAGTGGAAACACACCTTTATATAATAGTTTACAAATGTTCCCTGTAAATTCCCTTGAAAAGCATGGACCTAATTGGGGGGACAATATTAAAATTTCCCTGATAACTAGGAGTCTCCAATTTATTCAGTATTTATATATTTAATTTTTTTAAGTTTATTTATTTTTGAAAGAGGAACAGAGAGAAAACACAAGCAGGGGAAGAACAGAGAAAAAGGGATGCAGACAATCCCAAGCAGGCTCTGCACTGTCAGCATGAGCATGGAGCTTGATGCAAGCCTCAAACTCACAAACCAGGAGATCATGACTTGAGCTGCAACCATGAGTCAGATGCTTAACCAACTGAGTCACCTGGGTGCCCTATACGGTATTTACACACACACACACACACACACACACACACACAAACACTTTTTTGTTTGTTTGTTTTAAGTAGGCTCCAGACCCAATGTGGAACTTGAACTCACAACCCTGGGATCAAGAGTCAGATACTCTACCGATACTGCCCCAGGTTAATACTTTAAAAAATTTAAATAAATATTGTCAAAATCTGGCATTAAACTCTTAACTATGGAAGAACAGACTATAATACAGACAATTGTTCCATAAACCAATTTAATAAGTTTCAGTGCTAAAAGAATTCAGGAGGTATGAATTTCAAGAGTTCAAAAGTACTGTAACTTTCAGGTGGTATTAAACCAACTCATGCTTTAAAAAAAAAGGAACGTTATTTAAGCTCCATGATTCACTAGAAATTATTAATAGTCAAGTAGTTAATAGCAATCTTAGTTTTACAGCTGTAGAAACTTTGGTTACTTTCCAATGAGATAGATTCCCTAAGGTCACAGTTGTACCATTAGACCTTAAACTTAGCCAGAAACAAGTGCCAGACAGAAGACAACTATGGCTTTATGGCTTCTTTGGAAGTCACCATCATTTCTCCCAAGACTGGTCCAGGCATCTATTTTGATCTGTTATTCCAAAGACTGGCTCAGAGAATTCTGGAGGCATTGGTTCCTGGTCCTTCAACTAGATGTAGCCCATATTTAGACCACTGATGCCCAGGAGAGGACCAGAGAGAACAGCAAAGTGCTAGAGCTTTGAAGATCATAGTGGAGGACTAAGAAATATATGTAATCACTCCAAAATTATAATGGAATTCTGTATTCGCATAACACTGTACAGGCTAACCAAAGCAGCAAAGCTCGGCCTTTCAAAATGGCTATTTGCAGTTGCAATACTTTTCACTGTATATTCATTACATATTTTGATTAAGAAAAAATGGCAAATGAATTATTAATTAAATACAACTTGGACTCTTAGTTTAACATGGCATCTATGTAGAATCCTCCAGTGCAGGCTTTCCCATCTTTTCAGGAAAATACATGCTAAGACACAGAAAAAGGCAAGAGCACATTCTACTAAAATTCATTTAACCTCTGATGAGAAATCTCAGATAATTTCACTATGGAAGTCCTAGAAAGCAGGTCTACAAACAAATTAATAGTGGCCCAGTTTTCTGATTACTACCCACAATGCAAATGGTTGCTCTGCTCTGTGAAACACAGTAATTTTGTCAACTGAGAAGGGACTTTAGCTCTCTCCCTTTTTCAGCCTGCTATTGAAGAGAAATAGTGTTTATACAATAGAAAGATGGCTATATGAGGCAGCCAA